AATAAATAAATAAATAATAAATAAACAGCTCTTCAAGGTATGAGATACTAATTGAACTTTTTAAAGGTCTTTGGAGGGTTTTGGACAGAACTGATTGCCATTTTGTCAGCTTACTTAAGGACTGTTAATGACTATTTAAAGACAATTTTAGACAGCAGATGATTAGCATTTTGTGATTTTTCTCTGTACTTTGGTTTGCTTCCTATGGATACTGTATTGAATAATAATTTTGAGATATACATAATAGCCACTAACTGGGAGAAAAGTTAATACTTTTTCACTTCACAATCTTGGGAGAAACAATGTTTTAAAGAAAACAGCTTGGGACTAGATATGTTAGTCTCTTCGATCTTGAGCATTTAATTTCATCTTATGCCCACTTCCTTTTCTTTCCCATTCTCTGACTAGCTGGCATTTTTAGCAGCACTGGCATAGGAAAGGTGGTGAAGAAGGGGTGAAGAAAAGCAGACTTATTGTGCTATTTTGAAGTGGTGTTTATGCTGTAAACAATGCAATAAAGTTTGAGTTGGGAGACAGTGGAATCCTACACAACCAATTCTACTGTAGACATGTGTTTCTGTCTACCACAGGCTGCCTTGAGCAACCCTTATGAAGCCTGCATAACAACAAAACAGAAAGAGAAGGGAAACAAAATAGCCTGCCTCACCAATTACTCTCAGCATGTTTTAAAAAGCATTTTGGTGACCAATTAGTTTGGTCACCAAAATGAAATTAATAAGAAAGATAGAGGCTGACGAAAGAAAAAAAAATCTAGGTGCATTTGGAAAAAGCTTTCAAGCAGTATCCAGAAGATTCATAATGGTCTTGCCTAGTTATGTAAAGCTTACCATATCTGGCTGTTTTATTTTGTGTGTGCATATTATTAGTTATAGATAAAAAGTTTCATGAAAGATGTTAAATTGCTTTGCTTTTGCAGCACAGAAATCTCAACCTATTGTTTCCATGTTATGTTTGCCTCTGGTACCAAGTTATCTACAAGGTATAGGAACACATCTGCTTCATTAATTGAGATTATATCTGTATTTTAATTCATAAAATCATTGGACTTATATGTACCTGTTTTGAAAAATAATTGGCAAGTGAATCTGTCTGCAAATATTTTCTGGGGTTAATAACACACTGCCCTCCCCATAGAAGTTGGCTGCACAGTAGTCATAGCTTATTCAGAATTCTATTCACTAAAAGTCAAATCTATATTCAGGAAACAAATGTTGGCAGCAACATTTTATATCACTTAGAACTACACAGCTTGCATGATATGACATTTATTTCCTGGTGCAAAGTTTTGCTGTCTGAGAATTTTGGGTTCATTTTGAAAAGAAATCTGCAGACATTATGCTTGTACATATACATGTAGGATTGATAGACTTTTGAAGAACCCATAACCAGTTTGTCTTGTCAAAAATGCCAGTACAGTATCTGGTACAATCCTGCCATTTATTTATTCAGCTTTCTTTCTGTTATAAAATGGCTAATAATTGCAACATTCAAAAACTTCCATTAAAACATAGAACAGGTTTTAAACAGGTTTAAAATGCAATCAATAAAAAACAATGTTTTTCAGTGAAATACAATCAGAGAAGGCTAGGGTGAAAATTGCTGGAAGAAAATTAACAACCTTAGATATGCAGATGACACCACTTTGATGGCCAAAAGCGAGGAGCTGAGGAGCCTTCTAATCAAGGTGAAAGAAGAAAGTGCAAAAGCTGGGTTGCAGCTAAACATAAAAAAACCCAAGATTATGGCAACAAGAATGATTGACAACTGGGAAATAGAGGGAGAAAACGTGGAGGCAGTGACAGACTTTGTATTTCTAAGTGAAATGATTACTGCAGATGCAGACTGCAGCCAGGAAATCAGGAGACGCTTACTTCTTGGGCAGAGAGCAATGTCTAATCTCGATAAAAGAGTGAAGAGTAGAGACATCACACTGGCAACGAAGATCCGCATAGTTAAAGCAATGGTATTCCCCATAGTCACCAACGGATGTGAGAGCTGGACCATAGGGAAGGCTGAGCGAAGGAAGATAGATGCTTTTGAACCGTGATGTTGGAGGAAAGTTCTGAGAGTGCCTTGGACCGCCAGAAGATCCCATTAGTCCATACTTCAGGAAATAAAGCCCGACTGCTTATTGGAGGGAAGGATATTAGAGGCAAAGTTGAAGTACTTTGGCCACATCATGAGGAGACAGGAAAGCTTAGAGAAGACAATGATGCTGGGGAAAATGAAAGAAACAAGGAAGAGGGGCCGACTAAGGGCAAGTTGGATGGATGGGATCCTTGAAGTGACTGGATTGACCTTGAAGGAGCTGGGGGTGGTGATGGCCGACAGGGAGCTCTGGCATGGGCTGGTCCATGGGGTCACGAAGAGTTGGAAATAATTGAATGAATGAACAACAAACAATCAGAGAAAAGCATTTTGCCTTTCCCTGGGGTTTCCATTATCTTTCTGTATTGCCCTAATTCATTGTGCATCCATACCTATATTACTGTATACAGTTCTGGGCCATTTTCACTCTACACATTTATAGCTTTGTAATGTCACTTTAATTATTTAATTATTAATACCTTTCCCTAAACTGCAAATTCCAGGATTCCATAGGATATTGCTGTGGTTAGTTGGAGTCAAATAACAACGCTATAATATTCTAGTGTGAAAAGTCATTGAAGTGTTTAAAAAAGAAAGAAAGCTACCAGAGGTGACTGAAATAATTGGCAGGAACAATTCCCCTCTGCTGAAATATTGCAATGTGTGGATCTGTTTAGCTTAGAAAAAGATAAGGGAATGCTGGACAGTGCTGCATAAAATTATACATGTTGCGGAGAAAGTAAACAGAACAAAGATTTTAATGCTAGGAGGCAATATAAACTGCTGGAGCTAAATGGTAAGAGGGGTAGGACAGATAAAAGGAAACACTTATTTACATAGTGGGTCATTACATTGTGAAATTTACTACCAAATGTAGCAATTGGTTCTAACTTGCATGGCACAAAAAAGGAGATAACTTCATAGATAAAAGATGCTGCCTGTGGTACTAGAGATAACATGTAGCTATTGGTGTAGTTATACTTATGTCTTCCACTGATTAACCAATGTGTGAACAGAATGTTGGATTAAATGATAAGCCTTTTTCTGATCCATCACAGCTCTTGTGTACTTATTAGCACCACTAGCTCTTTCTGTAGCAGTCCTGGCCAGCCCCCCCCCCCCCAATTCTAGAAAACCTACAATTTGAAACAGAGTATATACAGTGGGTTACTGTGAGTTTTTCAAGTTATATGGCCATGTTCCAGCAGCATTATCTTCTGACATTTCATCTGCATCTGTGGCTGGCATCTTCAGAGGCTCTGTTTGCATTGAGGCAAGTGGAGTGTATATATCTGTGGAATGCCCAGGGTGGGATAAAGAACCCTTGTGTGTTTAAATAAAGTGTGAATATTGTAATTAGTAAGCTTGAATTAGCATTTGAGTTACCATGAAGTCAACCAGTGAGGTTCTATGCATAGAGGTAGCCTGGTCTTTGTTGCCTAGATGTATCCTCTGTTTGAGGTGTTACTTGGCCCTTGTTTGCTTATTGTCTGGAGTACTCCTGTTTCTGAGTGGTCATCATTATTTACTGTCTTGATTCCAGTGGGTTTTTTTTAAATATTCGTAACCTGATTTGTTCATTTTCATGGTTTCCTCCTTTTTGTTGAAGTTACCCATGTGCTTGTGGATTTCAATGGCTTCTCTGTGTAGTCTGACATAATGGTTGTCAGAGTAGTCTAGAATTTCTGTGTTCTCAAATAATGTTCTGTATCCAAGTTTGTTTATCATGTGCTTTGCTGTAGCTGACTTCTCTGGTTGAATTAGTAATCAGTACCTTTCGTGTTTTTTTATTTGTGTCTGGGCGCTGTATTTGATGGTCCCTATGTAGACTTGTCAACAGATGCATGGTATACGATAGACTCCTGCAGTGGTTAGAGCAGGGGTCCTCAAACTAAGGCCCAGGGGCCAGATACGGCCCTCCAAGGTCATTTACCTGGCCCTCACTCAGGGTCAAGCTACATTTGAAACGACTTGAAAGCACACAACAACAACAATCCTATTTCATCAGCCAAAAGTAGGTCTTATATTTATTAAAATTATAACTAAGTTTATATTTGCTAAAATTGTTTTTCATTTTAATTATTGAATTGTTTGGGGAGATGGTTGGCTGGGTATTAAAATAACATTGTTGTTGTTGTTGTTGTTGTTGTTGTTGTTGTTATCTAGAGCAGGGGTCCCAAAACTAAGGCCCGGGGGCCAGGATACGGCCCTCCAACATCATTTACCTAGCCCTCACTCAGGGTCAACCTAAGTCTGACATGACTTGAAAGCACACAACAACAACAATCCTATCTCATCAGCCAAAAGCAGGCCCACACTTCCTATTGAAATACTAATAAATTTATATTTGTTAAAATTGTTCTTAATTTTAATTATTGTATTGTTTATAAGTGGTTTTTGCACGACAAATAAGATATGTGCAGTGCGCATAGGAATTCATTCATTTTTTTTTCAAATTATAATCCGGCCCTCCAATAGTTTGAGGGACTGTGACCTGGCCCTCTGTTTAAAAGGTTTGAGGACCCCTGGGTTAGAGTATATACACTTTTTGTACCACCCCAACAATATTAATTTTAATTGCTACTGTATCAGATTGTCTTCTAAAATGTTTTAATCAAAATATATGAACAATAGTAAACAGAATATCAACTTGAAAAAGTATGTAACCAATAACCACTTTTTTTGGAGTTAAAATATGCTAGCCTTCTCTGTGAGGGTCAACTAGTGACAAAACAAATGAAAGTCTCTCCTCCCTTTGCTGTATTGCATGATACATTATGTCTTGCAGGAGCAGGAGCTTGTCAGAAGAAGTAATATATTTGAAAAATTCTTACATTCTGACACCTATGTGCTGGCTTTGGTATTAAATCACATTTTGATTTTTGTTTCAGCCACAACCAGCAGTCTACAACATTTAGGCATCCTGTGACTGGCCAGTTTTCTCCAGAAAACATAGAGTTTATTTTACATGAGGAGTAAGTACAAGATTTGTCTCCCTGTTTTTCTCAAAGCAGACATTTGAATATGTGTGTTTATGCTGTAGTTGAATGCAAAATCCTCTCAAGCGCAGAAGCTATGATGTTTCATATCTCCCTTTTGCACTGATACTAAAATAGTTTTAGAAGTAGTGACACTAATGATACCAGTTCAGAAACTGTGGTGTCATTTCTTTGTTTGTATGCAGGGGAAATCCTTTCCAAAGAGTGGTGTTAGACTAGATGTTTTTCCACTTGTATCTTCACTGCTACTATATCCTCTTGCAGATGTAGGAAGATGTTCTGAATCTTTTCTGTACAGTTTCCTGACAGTGAGTTTCCTTCAGGGTTTTTCCTCACTATTACAGCCTCCTTCATTTTCTTTGGCAATTTTTTTCCATTTGGTTTTATATGATCCCTGTGTTCTCTCCAGGAATGCTTTCTGTTCTTAGATGCATTGATGAGACACAATACATAGCTGTGGTTCACTGATCTTACCTTCCAAGAAAGTTAGCAATTTGTATTTGCTGCGGGTGTAATGGCAAGAAGACAAACACTGCAGCATACAATTATGGATCCTGCTGTTATTTCTCTACCCTTGCTCTCTTCTTTAGAGTTGGATTGTTTCTCAGTTTTTTTCCTGTATTTCATATTTAACATTTATATTTTTATTACATGCAATGCACTTCAGACTTTTCTTTTGTAACTAAGCATATCAGAAGATGAAGGTACTTTTGACTTGAGTCTAGTGTCATTGGACACATGGCTACTCATTCTTAAATAGTGGTTAGACAAGTGCCTTCCAACCTAGTAGTCTCATCTTTCAGCACTATCTCTTCTTTCATTTTGAAGTGTCTTATTGTTGAGGTTTTGAGGTAGGAGAGCTTTTTTAAACATTGCCCCTTTATATGCAATATTAACAAAAGTTAGTTGAAGTGCCATTGTCTCTGAGAAACCCTCCACCAATGTCATACCCCACCAATGCCATGCCCCAGTACTCTTCCTCAGTTAAAGTTAGTGCCATGATAGGGCTTGGTGTGATTGTTTCACAATGCAGCCCCAAATGCTGCTGTACATACTTCTGTTTAAAAATAGATGGAAGAACACTGGAAAGTAAATCTTATTGTGATTAATGTCATTACATGTTTTTGCAATTAAATAGGAGTGGTGGGAGAAAAAAATGTCCCTATGCTTGGTTCACCAGTTTAAAAAGGAATAGCCAAGTCATGGGAAGCTAGGAAGAAAGCATGTTGATTAAGTGCTGCTGCAGAAATACATCTAGTAACTCAACTTAGGTTCTAATTAATTGCAGGCATTTTGCATTTCTTGCTGCAGTTGTACCCACGTATCTCCCACAATCAAACAGCTGAGCAGCTATGGCAAAGTTAGTATTTTAAATTCTTTTTGCACCCTCTCACTGTGGACGGTCTAAAAAAATCCCAAAACCACCTCTACAACCAGACAGTAAAGGTGAATGTTTCCCCTGACATTAAGTCTAGTCATGTCCAACTCTGGGGGGTGGTACTCATCTCCATTTCTAAGCCAAAGAGCCAGCGTTGTCCATAGACATCTCCAAGATCATGTGGCCAGCATGACTGCAAGGAGTGCCATTATCTTCCTGCAGAAGCGGTACCTGTTGATTTACTCACACTTGTATGTTTTTGAACTGCTAGGTTGGCAGAATCTGGGCCTAACAGAGGGAGCTCACCCCGCTTCCCGGATTCAAAACGCCAACCTTTTGCTCGGCAAGTTCAGCAACTCAGCGGTTTAACCCACTGCGTCATCAGGGCCCCCCTCTATAAACCAGATACACAGTAATAAATCTTCCTTGTTAATTTATCATTCTTTGCTATGGTATGGAAATCCTTGTCATTTGCTTAATTTAAGAAATAATTAATCTATAAACAACAGATTGTATTACTCATAGTTCATTGTACATCTTGTCACTGGTTCTTTATGCCTAGGATGTAATCTTTCATATAATGTTTCTTTCGAATGGTGTTTGAGATACTGAAAATCATAGGAGTAATCTGCAGTAGTGTCAAAGTAAGGATGTATCAGGAGGCTAGTCACTGACACTGAAATTGACAATAATCTCAACCAGAATTCCCTCAAAGATACATTTTATGTGCCTGATCTCTCACTAACTGAACATTTGAAAAGCTTAAGTCTCTTTCATGGAGAAAGGGTGATAGTGCCTTTGATTAAGCAGTCCACCAGTAACTATCCTGTCCCTACTTTGAGTTCTGCACCTTATGTCGGTCCTCTTATTGGCTACCTCAATACTTTCAATAATAGTGGCCCTGATTTTGGCAGGTTCCTTGGGCTCCTTTCAGGATTTATTGCACACATTGAGCCTGTATCTCAGCTATGTTCTTTTATTTCAGCCATATTGTTCTCGATGTTGTTATGACTGTTTGCTTTATTATTTTATCTGATGATTTTAATTGTCTTTGTTTTTATCTGTAATTATTGGGCTTGTCCTTTGTAAGCTGCCCCGAGTCCCCTAGGAGAGATGGTCGGCGGTATATAAAAATAAAGTAGTAGTAGTAGTAGTAGTAGTAGTAGTAGTTGTTGTTGTTGTTATTATTATTATTGGCTCAGTGAAATGCGAAAGGCCACTGAATACAATTCATGAGACATTTTATGTGCCATCTCTGCTCAAATTAATGGAAAATGCACAAAAAGCATTAGCTCTTTGTTATTTCATACAGTATTTTCAAACATTGGCAATTATTTTACAAGGCATGGATGCTAACAAAAATGTGATGTTCTCTGGATACAGCTAACAAAGACCAAAAATTTTAAATATGATTAATTGGCCATATAAGAGTAACTGCAAATAAAACGTGCTTATGTAAAATATCATATGGTGTCTCCTGACAGAAGTTGATTTAACAAAATACTAGAATATTTTTCTTCTGATGTAGAGGAAACAGGAACTGATATAACTCTGATATTTACATAAGACAAATTATTCAAAAAGTTTATGAACTCTAATGCATGCTATTATTAAAGAGCAGTCCAAACTCCTTAAAAAAACAAATTGAACCTAAATAGAATGTGTTCATACTAATTTGGCATTTAAAAAAATATATAGAACAAATCTTTTTCTTTAGAACCTCATGTTTTGAGTTATGAATCAGCTGTGCTGTTGAGTGTTGAGACATCATTATATGACTCCCAAGTAGTTGTTAAAGGTTAACATGTAGTTGGTTTTAGTGACACCATGAAATGGTTTGCCATATTCACTAGCTGTTTTCCTCTGATAGTTTGTTCTAATGAATCAATGAACAATGACCTAAGAATAGCTCTAAATCTCCCCATTTCCTTTATTCTTTGACTGAATATCAGTGACAACTATGGTAACATTCAGGAAAGGCAATTTGTCGGACTTTTCATTTTACTGTGTTAAGACAATTATTAAATTAATTTTTTAGATTTACTATTAGATAAAGGATTTAAAATAAATAACTTAATAGATACTGTATAAAATATAATTATTAGAGATAAATTTAATAGATAGTTATTGTACATAGATAATTGTCTTTCCACCTTTTCTTTAACCCCTTCACTCTTCTTTTGTGGCATATTTAATATTTGTCACGGTCTAATCTACTAATAATAATGTTGTCTCCCCCTTTTCTTCTTTTTTCTCTTTCCTGTTTTTCTTTTCTCCTTTTTTATTGTATAAATTGAAAAAAATTAATGACAAAAAAGACAAGAAGCATTGAAGCAGGAGGTTATGTTTCAGTGTAACAGTAGGTTGTATACACTGAATTTATTTTATGTCTCCTCTTTTCCATTTGCAAGCTGTGCTAATTATTTAAGAAATTATTTGATCCAGTCTTTAAAGTGTAGTCTGGCACCAGCACTTACATCCAGAGAAATCACAGCAGCAGCTACGGGCTAGAAAAAGTTACTAACATGTAACTGTTTCTAGCCCTGGAAAATGAAAATAAATTGTTACCAACAGACGGAGGTGTCTATTGCAGATTACATTTGTAAAACAAATTGTGTGACGTACTTATTTTTCTTTAACATATTATGGTGATATTTGTGTGAGCCTGAATGCACTGAAAGGTAAAAAGGTTTTTTTAAACTGACAAACTGAGTTGGCATTTAAATGCAAAATGTGTGCTCAGTAGTTTGTAAAGGTTGTGAAAATAACTCTCGCTGCATAAAAACTTAATTGAGTTTTATTAAGTAGATGTGTTCAATTACGTTTGACTTTAACCAGCATGTTATGGCTTGATTCTGCAGGAGATAATTGACATAATGTGGCAACATTTTTCTTTTAATAAAATTAAGCATCTTCCTTGTCCTTCAAAGACCTTTCCCCTTTAATCTGCTTTCTTCCTCTGTAACCAAACAATACTTCATTGCTGTTGCCTCTTTCCTCTTTCTGGGATGATTTTATGAGACTAATAGTCACCTTTCTTGTGGTATAATGGCATTAAGCTTTGGTTACAAAACTGCAGTGCGGATTTTGATTTCTAACTACTACAGTGCTTTAAATAATGCAGTCTGCCTTATCTTTTCACTTGCATATGGATAACTAGTATTCTGCATAAAAAGAAATTAGAAGTTGGTACTGTATTACTGGAATATTAAAAACACATACTTATTAATCTAGGACAGTGTTTCTCAACCTGGGGGTCGGGAACCCTGGGGGGGTCGCGAGGGGGTGTGAGAAGGGTCACCAAAGGCCAGCAGAAAACACATTATTTTCTCTTGGTCATGGGGGTTCTGTGTGGGAAGTTTGGTCCAATTATATCATTGGTAGGTTCAGAATGCTCTTTGATTGTAGGTGAACTATAAATCCCAGCAACTACAACTCCCAAATGTCGAGGTCTATTTTCCCCAAACTCCACCAGTGTTTACATATGGGCATATTATGTATTTGTGCCAAGTTTGGTCCAGATCCATCATTGTTTGAGTCCACAGTGCTCTCTGGATGTAGGTGAACTATAACTCCAAAATTCTATTCTTGATGGGGT